GCAGGACTCAGGGGCGGTCAAGCCACAGGAACCTTTGCTCCAGTCTCCGAGTCTTACTTCCTCACCAGTACAGTTGTCTTATGATTCTGAGTCTCGACAAGTTCCCTGTGGTAGTTAAGAGCACGATTTTGGAGCCAGACTGTTTGGCTTCAAGTCATACTTATCAAGACCCTTAAACAAATTTCCTAACTCCTCTGCACATCTGTGAAATGAGGATAAGATTTCAGTTTATGTGCCAGTTGTGGTGGAGCACACCTGCAATCTCAGCACTCAAAAGGCTGAGGAAGGAGGATTGCTGCAAGTTTGAGGCCAGCCTGTGCTGGCTGGTGAGTTCAGGGGCAGCCTGAACTACATGGTGAGACTCTGTCTCAAACAACAAAAGCAAAGATTTCAACTTGCTATAGTTACCTACTTCTGTGAAACAAATCTCCCTGAATCTTAGTGACTTAATCCAATAATACACATTTATTATCTCAATTTTTTGAGCCAAGTGTTCAGGAGTGGCTTAGCTAAACAATGAGTTTTTCAGTGAGATTTGGTGGTGTCTGAAGGTTTCACTGAGCTGGAAGATCTGTTCCCAAGACAATTTTCGATGTGTCTGGGAAGTTGATCAGCTTCTCCGCAGGTGGGCTGCTTCGGTATTCTCATGACACTGAAGTTTCCTATCCTTCAAGAAAATGATAGCACAAAAGAAATGTGGTTTTTCAAACACAGATTTTTTACTTCATGTCTCTCACTTAGAAGTCCGTTCTCTTAAGTTTATGCTATAATTGATAATTTCTACTCATGGACATACAAATACATGCCATTCCTTTTTAGATTAAGCTCCAACTTTTGAAGGGAGGCATATCTGAAAAGTCAGCACCCATACCATATAACCACCCCACTACCGTTAGCATTTCACTAAAGATTGAATCAGTTAATTCAAGTAAGTGCTTCAATCTGCCTGGAATGCAGTCATGACCGTAGGTGGTTGATTGCTGTCAGTGCCATCATCCACTACTGTGGCTGCTTACGCTTTCCTTCCTAGAGTCACCTGAGACCTGAAGATTGACTCCTCCTTGACTTCCTGACTCCTAACATCTCCTCTGGGCGTCAGTGGCCCTTCCAGATTAGCCCTGCCCCTGTAAGTGTCTGGACAGAGCTGTCCAGCCCCAGCAGGATTCCACCAGCAGTGGCCACAGCTGGCTGTCCCAAGTGGAGTCTGTCTTCACAGTTGCTATAAGCTTGGCCCTTGATCCGCTTTCTTCATCTGCTCAGGCACAAGATGCCCAACAATGAGCTTGAGGAAATTCCCAGGCAAGTTCCGCAGGCCGCACACAGAGGCCTTTGTCCCTTTGGTGCTCCTGTTATGATGGGGCAGGAGGTGAGATTTGAGATCTTGAGCAAGAAATCACCAGCAAGAGGTGAGAGGCACCTAGAAGAGCAGCTGCTGCCTGTGAGCCCCCAAACCAGAGGCAGAGCTATCTGGCACCACGGTGCAGGGTGCACCCTTCCAAGGATACCAAAGGCCTGCGGGCCAGGTACATAGTCTTCAATTTCTCTAGACGCTGCGTGCTCCACCCATCACAGTGGCTATTCCAGCCCTGAGGAAGGAGCAGCTGCTCACCACCAGTGTGCTTAGCATGAGTCCTTTTCCTGTCTGCTAGAAAGTGTTGCATGTGCTACCTGTCTTCCAGTCATCAGATCTTGTTTAAAGCAAACACTGTGTGATTCTGTGATTGTTTATGTCGGTGGCCCCCAGGCCTCATGCGTTTGCATTGTGCATTTGTGATTGGTTCACTGTCTAGCGCTTGGATGGGGGGAGTGACTGCTACACCAGCCTAGAGGTGGAGCCAGGATGTGATCTAATGGCAGGAAGAAGGCGTATCTAGCTCTGTTGCTGGTTTCTGCCTTGCTGTTTGCAGCCCCCCTGAACTGTGGCCCTGCCATGCCACATTGCCTTGGAGCCAACTGAGTACGGGCTGAAACCTCCAAAAACTGTAAGAAATAAACCTTTCCTTTCCCAATTTTGGGCATCTGGTCTTTTGTCTCAGTGACAGAAGTAACCAAGACAGATTCCTAGCCTGGGCCCCTGGTGTTTGAATGATTCACAGACAAGCACCTGATCCCTTGTTCTGCTCAGGTTTAGCCTTTTCATTTTCCACTTTCTACCTGGATGTCCTTGTTTGGCTGTTAGGTGTGAATGACATGCATCCTGGAGATGTTACAAGTGGATGCACACACGGCACATCCTTTTCCTGGACGTGCTGTCTGCTGTTGCTCTTCCTGTGGTCGGCCGCCACTGTCTTAGTCACTTTCTCCTTGCTGGAACAAAATACCTGACACTCACAACTTAAAGGATGAGGTTTATTTTGGTTCATGTTTATTTATTTATTTTTTTACAGGATTCAGTCTGTCCTGAATTGTCTGATTCTAAGATGGAAAGACACGGTGGGTCTGGAAGAAGAAAGCTGCTCACACCACGGTGGGCAGGAACCAAAGAGCCAAGGGAAGACCAGACAGATCTCTCACGGAAAGGAAGTAATGAGCCAGGGAGTGTTATTACAAACATCATATAAAAATTTTCCAGAAGAAAATCATGCACAGAAAAAGACCTTCCTAGATACCTTCATTTGTTTAAAAATATAAAGAGCAACAGAATCCATCCCACTCCACTGCCCTTCCAGGAACCAGGCTGCCCATGCTTACCCTTGGCGGGTCCTGGTCTTTGAGAATGAAAGAGGCAAAGGAGCACGGTAACAGTAATTAGTGACCCAACCGGGGTGTGCGCCAGTGCACAGCCAATGCTGGACACACAGCTGGACTCACAGTGTCCAAATGTCTACCTGGGACTGTTCTGCTAAGTGGTCCACATGTGCAAACTTCATTGAACCTCTTGAACCCTGTGTGACAGTGCTGTCATCAAGGAAGCCCCAGATCACTAAGTGAGCTGTACAGCCAGGAGGCCCACTAGTTTCTAAATCTGTGTGCTCAACTATCACAACCCTGTGTGTGCAGGTGTCCAAGGGAGACCGAGCTGCTCGCCTTTTGTCCGATTTCTGCTAGCTCCAGCCAAGCCACAGTTTCAGCATTAGACTCATGGCATCATAGTATTAGTAAGCTGGATGAATTATTGTGATAAAAAAATAAAGCAAGTGGCACACAAAAATCATGGTGGGGCAGGAAATGTGACCAGTCTGACTCCCAATTTTGAAAAGTCGTTCAGGATCATTGTGGTTATTTAAAAACTAACCAAATATTCTCTAGTATATGTGTACTATTTTCCAAGGTGGTTACCAGGACGACTACTAATACATATTATTTTCCAAGATGGCTACTAAGATGATAAGTCTTAGTAAGTCATTTAGATCCAGCCATTCAAAAGGAGGAACTGTCATGACATTCATGTAAGGAAGTGATGTGAATGCTGAAAGTGTCTCTGCACAGTCATTTCGCCACTGGTGGAACCCTGGAGAGTAATGATAGGGGAGGTCTTGTTTCTGTTACCATGTTACATCCACAATAGAATAACAGAAGTGCTTCTTCTCTGTCTGTCTTTCTCTCCTTCCCCTTCCCCTTCTCTTTCTCCTTTTTTCTCTCTCCCCCTACTGTCCCAATTCCCCCCACCAAAAAAAACAAAAACAAAAACAAAAACAAAAAACAAAAAATAAGATCAACTCCTCCAAAACCCCAAAGATCCCTTCACTTCAATCAGAGACAGTTGCCCAAAATCCTATTCGTCTTCATTTCAGTCTTTTGCCCTTTTTTACTGATCAGGAAACCAACAGTGTATGTTGGTTTGAGCCCAGTCATCTTTAAACCTAGTCAAGGTTTAATCTGAGCATCTTCCTCCAACGTGCCATCTCCTCCTCAGGTCACAGGTCACATTGTCAGCTCAGACCCCAGATGCAGTGCTAACCATCCACACTAACGTACTGCTCCTCCGGCCAGCACCTCCGGTTGGCACACCTGGCCCCTGAAAATACTCAGAGACAATGAGGAGACAGAACAGGCAGTGGGAGGATGACAGAAAGGAGGCAGGTGAGGGCCTGGCAGCAGGAGGCTGCGGGGAGGGCAAGTGGTCACTGGCTTGGGTCACGGTACACTTTCCCTTCTCTCCCTGTCACATTTCCAAGAACAGCAAACCAGACAGCAGTGCTGTGGTGGAAGCAGACACATGTGATATGGCTTGTGTCACTAACCAGGGCCACCTTCGATGAGTCACTTTTGCTGTACCTCAGTTTCCGCTCTGCAATAGGACTCATTTCTCCAGTGCTCCAGGTGCCAGGGACACATGCACAGTTGGCTGTGTACCTACAGCCTGATGTCAAGTATATTAAAAATAATGGCGGGCCACCCTTTGTACAAGAAGCCACTTTATATCATTGTTCATAATGCAGAATTTACATGCATTTTAACTGCAGAAGCTAACACTTGGTAACATTCAATGAGTAATTACCGTAGGCTGAGTGCTATACTAAACCTTTGTGATCTTCACAATAACCTAATGAGGTTGTATTGTTATTTCCGTTTTATAACAAAAATCCTGGAGCACAGAGATTAATTCACTCAAAGTTGCATGTTTCTAAGTAATGACACCGCCCCCCCCAACTCCGCCATAAATCTGGGTCGTTGCCAGCTACTTAGGCATTTACCCCCAATCTGGTGCCTTTGTTCTTCATGAAGTCTGAACGCCAGAGGCGAAACAATCCCCGAAGTTTAGCTCCCTTAAATCAATTTTAGCTGAATTGGTGGATAAAGGAGCTCCCCACACCCAGTGTTCCTGGAGGATGGGGAAGGCTGTGGAGGCTCCCTGAGGCAGGTGGGGGTCCTCCAGGTGGATCTTTGGGGGATCTTTGGGGGCCCCTGGGAGCTCCTGAACTGTCCAAATGCTGGAGGTTTCCGCTCCCGCGGCCTCAGCTCTGTCAGCGTGTTTGCCAGCCGGCGCTGGCGGCACTTCCTATTTCCCCAGGGCTTCAGACCCAGCCCAGACCCAGCCCAGCGCTGGCGCTGCTGGGGGGGCGGGCAGGAGGAGACGTCGCAACCGCCGCCCTCCTCTTTCCCCGCCTGGGCACTCGCTCACCGCCCAGAGGAGCGCGCGTAGACCGGTGCTGGCAGTCCTGCGCCCGGCATGTCCCCCGAGCGCGCGCACACGGCGGCGAGCACCCGCAGCCCCCCGCGCGGCCCGGAGCCAGCCAACCGCACGCGCTTCCCCTTCTTCTCCGACGTCAAGAGCGACCACCGGCTGCTGCTGACCGGCGTGGAGACCGCCGTGCTGGCGCTGATCTTCGCCGTGTCGCTGCTGAGCAACGCGTGCTCCTTGGTGCTGCTGGCGCGCCGACGGCGTCGCGGCGCCACGGTGAGCCTGGTGCTCAACCTCTTCTGCGCGGACCTGCTCTTCACCAGTGCCATCCCGCTGGTGCTGGTCGTGCGCTGGACCGAGGCCTGGCTGCTGGGCCGCGTCGCGTGCCACCTGCTTTTCTACCTGATGAGCCTGAGCGGCAGCGTCACCATCCTCACGCTGGCCGCGCTCAGCCTGGAGCGCATGGTGTGCATCCTGCGCTTGCAGAGCGGGGTGCGCGGCCCGGGGCGGTGGGCGCAGGCGGCGCTGCTGGCGCTCATCTGGGGCTACTCGGCGCTCACCGCGCTGCCCCTCTGCGTCTTCTTCCAAGTCGTCCCACAGCGGTTTCTCGGTGCGGACCAGGTGAGCGCCCCCGGCAGTTCTGATGGAAGCGGTGAGTTGGGTTGATAATGCTTAAGGACAATAAACCATTTGCTGCGGTTAACGGTTGCGTCGGACCCTGTGCCCAAGCGCTGGGAAGTTTCGTTTCTTAAATCCAAATGACCACCCTGTAATGCAGGTACCTAACTCTCCTCCCAAACGCTGTAAGTGGAGTCGCCCCCAGTTGTTGCAAAATGCAATGGCGATTATGCGTTTAAATAACCGGGAGTTTGGGAGCGGGATCCAACTTCTGTGGGACTGTGAGATGGCTCGAGACATAGTGCTGAATTTTGCTTTCTCTCCGGTGTTATCACACTCACTTTACAAATGAGGAAGCTGAGGCACACGGAATGATGAGTCCAGACGACCTCATCCTTAGATCTAGGAGAAGCTGGGTTCCTGCTGGGAAGGGTGAGGACTGCGCTTTGAAACCCTGAAGGCAGGTGGCTGGAGAAGCATTGGAGGACCAGGGATCCCAGACCCAGTGCTGCTCACACAGGCTGGAGACCTCCTGTCTTCTCGGGGGTCCTCTGTTTCCAACTGCAAGACTGCAAGACTAAAGGGGAGGATTTCGCTAGACCATGAGCGCTTACCCGGGGAGTCTTGGATTTTCAGGTATCCACACCCCCTAACTGCTGTGTAGATCCCAGAGGTTGGGCCAGAGAGTCGTTTTGGTCAGTGGGCCCTCGGTTATCATTGGCATCGAGGACCATGGAGGGGCTACGTTCTAAGAAGGTGTAACTCGCTGTGGTCACCTAGAGACCCACAGTTTGGAAGTCCCAGGGGAAGGTGTGTTTGCCTTGCTGCCCACCCCTCAGCTGCAGAGTTCCCTCCCTCAGATCCACTCGAAACGCCAGAGCTGGAGGCCAGGTTGCTGTGGCGCACAGCAGCTGGCAGGTTCCACTGTCTACCTGGGTGTTTCATTCTCTGCTGGGCACACAGAGGGGAAGGACCAAGTCAGGGCTGTGTGCTTGATAGCGATGGTGTGGTGAAGTCTTGGCTCCTGGCGCTGCCTTTTGGAGGGTCTGCCAGAGGCTGGCTTCTCATCCTTCTCCCCGCTCTTTTTTTTTTTTTTTGGTATGGGGAATCGAACTCAGGATCTCACACTTGCTAAACAGACACACTGGGTTTTTTGGTCTGGGTCATGAACTCCCACCCCAGGTCCTAGTAAGGGGAGTAGTCCCATCCAGAGCATAAAGAAGAACTGCTGTCCCAGGAGAGGCCTGGAAGGTGGAGGTGGAAGAGCATCACCTGGGAAGGTTCCAGATGGAGACACACAGCTGGACTAGGAATGCTCTGGTCGTGTGACTCTCCAGGGCTGCACACACCGTGAGGAGGTGGGCAGAGCACTTCCCTGGACCAATCACACACAGGCCTTTTGCTTTGGGGTAGGATGGATGGAAACTGCATCCTGAGCAAGTGGTCTTTCTTTCTTCCTTCCTTCCTTCCTTTCTTTCTTTCTTTCTTTCTTTCTTTCTTTCTTTCTTTCTTTCTTTCTTTCTTTCTTTCTTTCTTTCTGGTACCAGGGATTCAGGCAGGCGCTCATGCCACTGAACTAAATCCCTGGCCCCAGCAGTTTCTTTTTTTTTAACTGAACATAAATCAAACCCAAAAATCAGTTTATAATAGTTTATTTCTTGTGTGGAATATATTTTAGGGGTGTCTGTTTGGTTAGGGATTTGAATGACTGACAAAGAGAAACTGAATCAGCCCTGTAGCACTTGATCAAAAACCACATAAACCTGTGGCCATGTCCCCTCAGAGGGGGAGGAGAGCCAGGGTTAGCTGGGCTGTCGGTACTGGTGGCCTTTAGAGACCAATGACTCCAGTTCACCTGACAGACTATCCTTAGTCCAGACACACATGAGTGTCAATATGGGCCCTACCAAGATGGGCCAGCTATACTGTAGGGTGTCTCTAAGGAGCTCTGCCCTGCTGGGCGCGCACGGGTCTCTTGCTTTAATGAAGAAGCAACTTCTTGGTTTTAAGAGTTTTGAGGGAGGGTTTTGGGCAAAGCACTGGGAGCAAATGGCTGGAAGGATGCATCAAAGGGGGCCAGAGCAGTTACCTGCAGGAGCCCTATTTACTGAAATCAGTACAGGTGGTTGGGGAGCTTGTAGTGAGGAAATGAGACTCTCTTCTGGCTCTCCATCTTCCTTGACTTCTCTCAGACCCGTCCCACTCCTGCTCTCTTTCTCTCTCACCAAATCACTCTCTGTTTGAATTGCAGTGTACGATGCTCCTTTTTATATGAGTTTTACTTTCTACAGTTTGAGTTATCAGCAGTTTCATTACTTATAGACAGTCAAGCTCTGATAATATTGAATGGAAAATTCCAGAAATAAGAAATTCTTTTTTTTTTTTTTTGGTCTTTTTCCTTTTTATCGGTACCGGGGATCGAACTCACGACTGCCTGTTTGCAAAGCAGGCGCTTATGCCGCTGAGCTAAATCCCCAGCCCCCCCAAAATTCTGACTTTCAATAGTTTTATTACAGTATATTGTTGTAGTTATTCTATTTTATTATTAATGTATCGTTATTCACTTACTGTGCTTGATTTATAAATTAAACTTCATCACAAAGATGACCATAAAGGAAAAACAGCATATATGAGGTATGATCAAAATCGGTGGTGAATATTTAAAAATTATTTATTACAGTGAAAGACACATTGCTATTAATTCTTCTTTACATTTACACATTGCCGTCAACTTCCCTTTAAGTGTCTTCAGAAATACTTGGAACGCTGTTGCTAAACGCCTTCCAAGAGAAAGTCAGGCCCATAAAAACATTAGTGTGTCCTCAACCACCTCATTCACTGGATCCAGCACCCTGTGACATACAGCTCTTCCCCAAAGTCACAACACCCATGCAAGGGAGATGTTTTGAACTGATTCAGGACCTTGAGGCAGCCACAACTGTACAACTCAAAACATCACAAAAGAGGCCTTCCAGAACTGCTTCAGAGGGTGGCAAGCATGACGGGATGAGTATGTTCAAAGGGAGGGGCAATACTTTGAGGGTGTTAACCACACTGTGTGTTTTACTGAAATGTTTTTAAGATTTAAACGTTCCTCATAATTTTGAATCACACTGCATGTGTGCTCCCTGTGGCTCACAGATCTCCCAAGGTCTCAGAGGTCCCTGAGAAAGGGTGAGGGGGACCACTATATTTTCTCTATCCTTACTAAGGAAGTCAGCAAACAAACTCTACAGGTCCTTAAGGGTTGTCTGAGTGTATCGGAAGCATCTGGCTTTATGGGCTCATGAGTTAATAAATCCATGGAAACAAATGAAAGAGGTTGGGCATGGAGAGGTACTGGGAAGAACGACAGTTTAAAAAAAAAGGAGAAGGATCTGGTTTAGATTGAACTGAGTCTCACATTTAAAGTTAACCAGGGCGTATTTTCTCAGTCCTCATGGATCCTGTCTGTCCTTTCTACTGGACACTAAATGTGAAGGTTTTGGATGGGGGACATTTTTCTTTCCAGATCACACATGGAGGGCCCAACTTACCCCAAACACGTAGGGGCTCCTTCCCCTCAAGGAGTGCTGATAAAGAAAACACCCCTCCTCAGAGATTTCTGCTTGCCTGAGACTGTCCTGAAACAGGGACACAGTGACATTCATTTGGACTCTAAACTGAAGGGAGCACGTGATGGTAGCTGAAATGCTAGACCCTTTGGTATTGTGGGCTTTGGAATCAAATATTCTAAGCTCATCTCTGATCACCCAGGAGTTGTATGACAGAAGACAATCTGTCCCAGTTCACTATACCTCACTCTCCTTGCTTGCAAAATGGGCTCAAGAACAGTATCAACCAAATAATATTGCCATGGGGAATTCTTGTTCAGGAAACCTGGCATGAGACAGTTAAGTGCTCAAGAACTGCTAGCTATTGTTAGTTTTCCTTATCTTTGGATATAAACATTTTAAACATTCTTCAAACAATGTAATTATTCTGACTGCTATAAAATAATAGGCTGCTGTTTCAAGAGGATAGATACATCTTAGCAACACTGACATCTTGGCCAAACCAGCTCAACTTGCTCTAACCAGATGCCTGCCTATGTACGCTATGGCCCTGGCCAGCTGGTGACCCATACTGGTGACCCACCTTGGCCAGCATGTGCCACCCATTCATTGTACAAACATTTACTGAGCACCGCTCCCCTCTCACCCTGCAAGCCACAGAAATGCACCTCCTAAGCATACAGATAGTCCCAGACGTTGGCCTAACACTGTAGCCCATGGTTATCCCACGAGTGTGTGTTCTTATGTTTATTTTCTGAAAGATGAAATGCTCAAAGTCACAAGACAAAGGGTATTCCAGAATGTGGCCCAACTCTGGTTCCGATGGGTGTCATCTCCCACAAAGTCACACTTTCTCAGCTCTACCCTTTCCTGATTTCACACAGGTTTCTGTTGTGATTGTGTCTCCACTGAGACATGGTAGGTTGTGACTGCCTCACTTCCTGGCTCATACTCACCACATCAGGGCGCGCAGCCACACCCCTTCCTGCCTCTACATGGCTCCTTGCCTGGCTGGGATGCCCTTCCAGGCCTCCATGCCCTTGGCTTGCTTACTGACCGATATACCCAGTGAAGACATATTATACTCTGGTAGCCTTGGTGAATTCCCAACACCCAAAGAGTCCCTTCCACAGCTCTCTGAACGCGTGCAATCAGCAGTCTTCAGTCAGGAGGTCACCTTTTCTCAATACGCTACCAAAGTCAGGCAGAAGAAAAGCTTGTCTTATTTAAGGCAAGTACCCAACACCTATATTTACACCTGGCACACATTAGATGCTCAGTACAAAACTGCGTAGTGAAGGAATTTGCTGAGGACTAGGACATCCATTAACAGGCACCGCCCCAGTGCTGAGCCCTCCCCACACTGGCCAAAGTATTTGCACATGCTGCCTGGTTCCAACTTTTGTTTTCTTAAAATTCTCTCATGATTCTTCCTGCAATTTCCCAATACTCTTTGGTAAATTGTTTTCCCTTCCCTACC